ATATATCTAGTTAGCGTTACGTAAATCGACCTCGATATGGAAAAGCTTACGCGTACGCGTTGTATTCGCTCTCGTCTCCACGCTTTCCGAAGACGCTCGCGAGCGTAACCGCGAGTCACTCGCTGATTCTAACGAGCCGATTTCACTGCGGCCGTTGCGTGAAAGTCAGGATGTCCGGTCCTAAGAAAAACTTGTTATGTAACATCCAACGAGATCGAAATTCTTCAAATAACTGATGAATAACCTTTTCGATACGGTATAATTATCAATGCCTGATAATAATTCACTTTGTATCAAAAGACACTGTGTGATACAATTATAATTATATTCTTCTATGAAGAAGAGTTCTTGCAATTTTGAGATTATGATTTTCTTTCATGAAGAATTGCATTTTGAGGTTATGTCTTGCTTTCATTTCATGACTATTTTGCAGTATGTACGATTATAATGAATCAAATATTGCTTCATATATTGAAATAATAATGGACAGTTTAAACAAATGTAAAAAATCAAAGGAATCAGTATATTTCACTATCTGTGTCGTTTTCGATGAAGATGAAGTTTTAATGAAGAATCAGTAATATTTTTGATAAATGTATTTGCATTATTGCTTAAAGTAATTTCTGTTTTTGTCGTGTCATATTAAGGTAAAATTGATTAGTTTTTAGATGACAAAAAGTAAGATTTTTATAAGCTGTGAATGATGAAAGTGTGTTAAAATAATTACTTGCGAAGTGACATATGCTTACTAGTTATGAATATCTAAATTAGTAAATCTAATATCCCTTTATATTTCTATTTCTTTTATGTTTCTGTTAAGAATCGTTCAGATAAAAAAATTTATACGTTGTGAACATTTCGTGAATGAAATATTTCTTTCGTGACAAGAACCCAGTTACTAACAAATAGAGAATGACTAATTTTTTAGTTTTTAAAAGTGGTCAACTTTTAAAGCATTTCCCGAATTTGTAAATATACTTGTCAAAGATTTTTGCGCCAATTTGGGTAATATAGGTTATGTAACTTAAGCGCCATCTTCCATAAAAATGAAGGACAATAAACTGAAAAATATCATTCAAATATATAATCATAAACTCAAATATAGATAATAAAATGTATAATTATTTTTTTTAAGTAATCTTGTTACATAACTAGAAGATTTAAAAACTGTCTCCAAGCATCGACTCTCGTTACTTAATGACAGAACTAATTACCATTGAATTCCCCTAGAAAATTTCTCTTAATTGATCAGTCACTGATACCATTACCTTAATTCGTGGCGCCATATTAAGATATAAAAATTATGAATCAATATACTCTTCATCGTATCAACGAACGTTCAACTCCAACTGCATATGTATACTTAGCTATAAGACGTGACTCATTTCTATGTACGCATATATGCGACCATGTTATTCAAAGAATTAAGAATACGTATCGTTATCATTATTGGTTGACGTACGTTTGCTATGCAACTTTATCGATGCATCTAAATGCTAAGTTGTTGCGTGAAAGTCAGGATGTCCGTTCTAAGAAAAACTTGCTTTGTAACATCAAACGAGATCTAAATTTTTCAACTAATGATTGATATTAAGAACATCTACCGGTATCGTTATCGGTTATCGTACTGTTGTGACCTAAATGTTAAGTTGCGTATCAGATGCTGTTTATCGAGATTCGGAAAACAGAAAGTCACGATTTCATGACATAAAAATACCATAAAATAAAAGTAGTTGAACGGTTATTTTATGAAATTGACTGCATGAAGCTTTTGTTGATTAATATTAAAGTAACGAGTAAATATTAGTGTAAGATTGCTGATTGCTATTAGAGAATGACTCACTTTTGAAAATAGCGTCTGAAGGGATTGACATTTTAAATTCATAATTAAACATTTTGAAATTTCGGGATTTAACTTTTGAGAATTTTTTAAATGTAGAAGTATAGAATTTTTGGACTTTGAGAATTTGAGACTGGAGTTTTGGAACTTTGGCAATTTGAAATTGAATTATTACACATTCGAGGCAATCGAAAATTGGGATTTTAGAAAGTTTCGAACTTCGAAATTTTTAAACTTTGATGGCGTAAAAATTTCATCAGTTATGAACTTCGATGGCTTAAAAATTTCATCAGTTATGAAATTTTTATCAGTTATGAAATTTCATCAGTTATGAAATTTTTATGTTTCAAAGATTTAAAGTTGAAAAATTCAAAAAGGTAGAAATCAAGCTCTGAAAGTACGATATTCCCTAGTCGCAAAATTTCAAATATTTTAAGTTACATAATTCTGAAGAACTAAATTTCTAAAATTGCAAAATTTGAAAATTTAAATTGCAAATATTAATTTTCCAATTCCAACTTTTTAACTTTTAAGTATTTCAGTTTTACAAATTCCTTAATTACAAGTACTAAAATTTTGGAACTTCCACACTCGCAAGTTCTACATTTGCAAAATCAAGAATTTCCAAATTGCAATTGCAAAATTTTGAAGAACTAAACATTTAAAGTTGTAAAATCTAATATAATAAAATATAACTATAAATGAAATAAAAATCTTAAAATTTTCTGGTTTCAAAATACCAATGTTCCAAAATACAAATTTCAATATCCTGAAGTTATAAAATTCTGAAGTTTCAAACTTACGCAATCACAAAATTCAAATATTTCTGTATTCTTAATGTGTCGATGTCCAGAATTCAAAAATTTCAAACTTCTAAACAGATATATAATTTTGCAAACATATGAATTTAAAAATGTCTCTTCCACTTCCTCGAATAAATATAAATTTCAGAATAATAATTAACATTCTTAGTATAAATAATTTTATGATACAAAAAGTTATATGATAAAATACATTTATGAGAAAATCAGATAAACTGCATAGTAATCCGTTTCATCGCGTTTGTTTATTTCGTTAATCTGTTTGCGTACAGATGCTATTCCGATAATAATAATACAATAATATATTTCAATAATCTTCAAATTGAAGCGAAATTGTCGGATTTTCACAAAGATTGTGAATGATCGAAATTATTGACAAGAAAATGACTATATAGGGTGTCAGTTTTTACCGTCATATTTTATTAATATATTTTATTCAAAAAATTACATTAATAAACATTTTATTTATGTTAAACCTAAAATGATAACATAATTTTCTTATTTTAAGTTACAAAGTGTAAGGTGGTTTTCTTGAAAAATTGTGTTGGTTATTATCGAGATACATAACTAATTGTGCATTAATTTATGTTTCATTGGTCTCTTATTTATTTCTCTACTTCATTTTTAATTTTAATGTAGGTGTATGCTATACATTGGTAGGTTTAGTGCTAAAAAGTTATTTTTGAATATAAATAATAAAGCAGTCGTTTTTACTATTTGATTTTTTGAATTTTGAGATTAAATTTAAAAATTTAAAACTGTAATTTTCGAATTTTTGAACTATGAAAGTTTGAGAAATTTGAGACTGTGATTATAAAATTACGGAATATTTGAACTTTGAGAATTTGAAATTGGAATTTTCGAACTTACAGAACAATCGAAAATTGAGGTGATGTTTGAAACTTCGAAATTAAAAAATTTTTAAACTATGAAAGTTTTGAACTTTAAGGATCTTGAAATTTCATAGCTCTGATAAAATTTCAATGTATCAAAGATTGAAAGACTGCAAAACTCATATGTCCTAAAATTTCACATATCCTCAAAACTCCTAAAATTACACATATCCTCAAAACACATATATCCTAAAATCCCACATATCCCAAAATACAAGATATTCAAAAATCTCAAAGAATTCCACCTATGCCAAAATTTTCGAGAATTTCCTACTTTTGTTATAACTTTTTAATAATGTGTTTGAAGCTCTATAAAATCTTTGGTAACTATTAACGAAAAAGGAGCCCTAATGACCTTGATCTTGACAAATATTATGAAACATATGTTCCTGAGTAACTTAATCGTTTCATTGTTCATTAAAAAGTTATTAACTATTTAAAATTTGTAAAAATCAAAATTTACACGTAATCTGACACTGACAATTTTGACGATTCGGCAGTGGTTTTTGAGGCCAAGCTTACCAGAGCTATAACAAGTGGATTTATAAATCAAGCTGAACAACTCGTTTTAAATTTCAGGTTGTGCAACTTGATGCTGTCCTAACCTAACCCAATGAAACGTATTTTATAATATAATTAAAAATGAATATCACAGAATGAATACTGTAAACTATAATGCTAGGGTAAATGTTTAGAATAAGGGAGCCATCTTCGATTTCGATCTTGAAATATATTGTCGGGGCCACATTCTGAACAATTCGTTTCTCGTCAAAAAATGACGCACTTTACTGCCAATATTTCCAAGAGTGATTAAATCGCAACTAGGATTCCTTGTATTGAGGGCGTAGCCCTCCAAACGCTTCCATCCCACATCAGTAATCACGAACCCCTTTGAGACGGACTTCTTTAAGTACTTTATAAACACGTGTCGGGTTTACTGCACGGATAGTGTATGTACGTATGAGCTTAATACAGTCAAATGGAGCTTATACTCATTTATTCATTTAAACTTTCATTCAAGGCAATGAATTATGCAATACATAATTGCCATTAATTTGAAAAACGCACCTTGTCAACATATTTCAAGGTGATCGAAATCGGAGGTGGCTTCCTTATTCTAAATATTATGCTGGATTGGGTTAGGTCAGTTCAGATTATTTTTGCAAAAAGTTTTTGTTAATAACTTCACAATAATGAACAAGCGATGATTACTCAGTACGATGATCTCAGGATCAAGGTTCTCTTCCGTCAATATTTCCCACATCGTTTTCTTATTTTTAGGTACGGAATATATTAGTAAAGTTTGCCGGTAAAAATATAAGACACCCCGTACATTGTCAACCACGATATATAAAATTAGCGAATAATCACCGATCGCATGATTTCTTTGAACCATGTGAACAGTATTATTATTCTACATGTACGATCTCACTGTCTGCATTATAGGTGCACCCACGTCGCCGTCATCCTGACCTGCCCGAGAAATCCTCATGAAAGACTGGGAACTCAGTACTCAGAATAGCATCGGTATTGTAGCCATTTCTTTTTTTATTTCACCCAACCTCACCCCTTTCTCTTTCTCTGTCTCTCTCTCACTATACATATATATACGTACTTTTTATTATAAATAGCTCGTAATTACACCGCGACTATTTGTTAAACCGTTCTTCATTTTCATCTGTCTATTCTGTTCTTCATCTTTGTCCTTGTACTTTTATATAGTTAGCGGTGATGGTGATGGCTATTCTAACAACGAAATGTTCGTTAAGTTATGTGCGTTAGAGTTGAAAGTTAAAAGTTAACGGTTGAAGTAATGAAAGAGTTTATTGCGTTTGTTGCGTTTTAGCCTTGTAGTTATTCTCTTTGTATCTCCGACTGTTTTAATACTTGATGCTTATATTTGATGAATTTCAGTATGCCAGGGATGAACTTATTAGCGCGACCAGATTAACTAGAATAATCAGATTTGATTAACTAGATTTGACTAAATATGACTAGTTTGGTCACTAGATTTAAGATCATTCATCATAAGATCATATCACTAGATTAGTAACTAGAGTTAAGAATTGTATGATTCACAGAAATTATTTAGTTACTAACAGTTAAATTGTCTTCATCAAGTAATACTACATTTTAATTGGAAGTTTCTAAAATGGAATAGTAGAATAATTAACGTAGAATAATTTAGATATAAACTTATAAAATAATATAGATACTTAATTTAATAACACGATACAAGAATTATTATCTACATTTGATTATTATTTATAAAATTATAATTTGATGCAAGAATTTATTATCCACAGAATATATTATATTGAAACTCGAATTTATAGATAATATATTATCATGTGTAGGTTGTATAATAAATTTGTTTATACCAAAATATTTTCATTTATTTAAATACAGTTTATTATTTTTGTAGTTTTATTATTTTTAGTGACGCTATCACGTCTTTTATTCCAATTATTAATTATTTAAATATAGTACTGCGCTTATAGATTTTTCTTGTTACTCTGAATTATTGTGTTTCTAAAATCAAAGTTTTTAAGTTTTCTAGTATCCTGAATATTATTTCAGTGTTTATGTATTTTTATTATTTTCAAATGGTGTATTATTAAAAAGAAGCTATTAATATTTTTTTTCTAACTACCTATATTTATACTTTATAAAATAGCAATTTTAGAATAAAGTTTCTAATCTTTATTAAGTTTTTTGTTATTTAAATTTTTATTTTTGCAATTTTATATTCTATATAATTATTGCGTTATTATACCATAATAAATAATGGAATCAATATTTACATTTTATAATTGTTCATTAAAATTTTTGGAGATTTTAATGAAATGAAAATACAAAATTTTATAACTTTTACGTTTAAAGGTTTACATTTCAAGTATTTGAATTTGTTCATTTTCAAGCGTTGAAAATGAAAAAACTTGAAAAATTCCGAAATTGAAAAATTGAAAGATTAGAAAATGAAAACATTATAAAACTGAAAACATGGAATATTAAACCTACGGTACATTGGAAAATTGGACCTATGGTGCATTAGAAAATTGAAAAATTTGAAAAGTTTGCGAATTTAAAAATTACTAGATTTTTAAATTACAAATTTTTCCATTTTATCAGTGGGAAATTGGGACGATTGAAAATTGAAGAAATTTTCAATTAAATAATATTTTAATTTGACAGTTTATAAATCTCGAATTATGAAAACATGTTGATTTCCGAATTTGTAAATTTACTAACTTCTAAATTATTTTTTAAATTGAAAAATTGAGGAATTCGAAAATACTGAATTATTCAGAAAATTCCTTCAAGTTTTAAAACTTTCGAAAAAAATTTGGTCTCCAATTTTTTTCGATTAAAAATCCAGATAATAATTTATAACGTCAAAATCCATCAAATATAAAAGTTCATAAATTTTAACTTGGAAATCTCTAAATTTGAAACTCACTAAATTCAAATATCTCTAAACTTATACAGTAACAATCACTTTCAAAATTCGTTAAATTAAGAAACTTCTAACTTTAAATTAAAGAATAACCAATTTGAAAAACCACTAATTTTAAAAATCTCCAAATATAAATTACAAAATCACCACTTTCAAAATTCGTTAAAATAAAAAACTTCTAACTTTAAATTAAAGAACAATCAATTTGAAAAATCAGTAAATTCAAAAATCTCTATATATAAATTAAAAAATAACTACCCTCAATCCATAAATTTAGCCTCGAAGATTATTAAATTCAAAAATCAATGAATTCCAAAATCTGGACTTAAGTCCGCGAATTCTGAAATTAGCTCAGCGTATCCCATAGGATAGGCGGTCAAACAACGATCCCAGCACATATTCTTCAAATCCAAACAACGAAGTATACCCAATGATTCATTATTTCGATTCATTTCTCTTCTATCCCCTTCTCTTTCCCTCTGTCTGTCTCTCTCCGTCTGTTCTCTAGGCACGAGAGTGGCCGCAACCGCGAATTACTTCGCAATTCCCCGAAATTGCGCAATCCGTTCCGGCTAATGGCCACTGGTCCGTCGGTGGAGGAGGGTGATGTCGGTGGTGGGGTGGTTGGGTGGATGGGTATCGACGAGGGTGGTAGGGGTAGTCGGGTGAGCTCGAAGGGATGGATGGACCGCGGTGAGGTGGAACACGGGGAGACCATTAATTAAGCAAAATCATAAACCCGCTGGCCAAGTGCGTGGTTTGCATTGAAAAATATAAACGCCAGGCCCGTTACTTTCACGAACGAGATCTCTCTCTGTCTCTCACTCTCTCTTTTACTCTCTACCACCGCAATGCACCGATTTATGTGAGTGTGTGTGCAACTACATCCTGCTGCAGTTTGCGTCTGAAGGGATTTTATCATTGACACCATTGACGCAGTCACTGCAGTTTTCTACTGGATGTACTACAAGTAATGGTCGTGCGTTCGCTGGTATGTGATGCGTTATAGACATTTATGGATGGAAACTAGATACTATTAAAAATAAAACACAACTAATGAACGGCCTAATGATCATTATCTAACGTTCTAACGTTCATTATCTAATGAAGGTAATTTTAATGAAGGAAGCCTAAGGAAAACACATTTTTTGAAAGTTAGGTTTGTTACTGGTATTTACAACTGCCTCGGCCGTCCCTCTTCAACCACTCGTTGACAAAAGCTCAACCCATGGTGTTCGTCAACTTGGGTTTCATCATTCCTGGATTTCCACTTTTTCCTTTCATAAAAATAATATTAACAAAGTTCCTGTTAAGCAATATTTTATTGTAATTGTGAGAGTTTAAAAGTAGTATCTTCTGTACACTGAGGTTCTTTTATCTAACCTCAGACCGACCATTTCAAATGGTTCTCGATCGACAAACTTAAAATTTTGAAGCAGTTAGATTTGCCAGCGTATCCTTCTGTTTTCTGGAATCGATTTTTCAAACGACTTACAGTGTATATTGGATTTGTTTTAGATTAATTTGATCACATATGGATGTCACATGTTTAATATGAGCTCAATATGCGGTTTAGTGAAATTGATTATAAGAGATCGAATAAGTGCATTCGTTATTTTTGGGTGATCTGTGAAATGTTTAATATTGGGTTTCATGAATTTAGAGATTTGTTTCCACTTCATCAAATTTTTTGAATATTTATTTTAGAATTTTTTCATTTCGAATATTTGGATTTGCGGATCTGTACAGTACAATTACTCTACAACTGTAATTGTACAAGTTTAAATTTTAAAATTAACAATTTAACAATTACTTTCCAATATTCGTAAATCGCAAACTTGAAAATTCCATTATCTCCAAACTATCAAATTTGCAAATATTTATACTTACAGTTCTGTTATACTATATTTGCAAATTCCGGATTTCCAAAATTTCAAGTTTACAAATTCCAAATTTATAAGACGTATAAGTTCCAACCTTAAAATTTCCATTTTTAAATTCACAAGTACCAAAATGTAAAAATTTCTAAATTCACAAATTTGCAGTTCCTACATTTGCAAATTCAAAAATGGACAGACTACCAAATTTGCAAAATTTCTTATGTATAGTTTAAAATTTTGTAAATACTAAATCTTCTGAATACCCAAAGTTACACATCCAAAATTTGTAACTGTCATAAATTGCAAGTCTCATAATTGCCAAATTCCTTAATTTGCATACCCCAAATTTGTAAATTTGTAAATTTGTGATTTGCAAATTTTCCTATTGTACATTTCAACATTCTTGAAATTTAAATGCTAAATTTCCCAAAATCCAAATTTGCTTTGTAGTAAATTTTAATATGTCTGAATTCCAAATCGTAAAATATCCAAATTCCAAATTTTTTAATTTCTGAATTTGCAAATTCCTGAATTTACATACTCTAAATTTGTAAATTTTCAAATTTTCATATTGTAAATTTCAAAATCCCTGAATGTCAAATGCTAAACTTCCCAAATTTCAAATTTGCCTGGAAGTAAATTTTAATACGTCTGAATTTGAAACGTAAAAATTCCAAAAATCCAAATTGTCAAATTTATACATTTGTAAATGTCTAAATTTGTAAATACTAAAATTTTGAAATTCCAAATTGCTAAATTTGCAAACACCCACATTTGCAAATTATAAATTGCAAAAATTCCAAATTTTCAAATTTCAAAATTTCCAACTTCAAAATTTCTAAATTCTAAAATTCCCGAATTCCGAATTTCCAAATTTCTAAATTTGTAAATATCGAAATTTCCAAATTCCCAAACTTGCAAATCCAAAATCTGCAAATATTGAAATTCCGAAATTCCCAAACTTACATATTCTACAATTCCAAATTAAGAATTTCTCCAAAAATTCAAAACCTTGAAAAATATCTTAATTCTAAAATCTTCAGTCAATTTCTACATCTGTAAATGTGCAATTCCTGAATTTTACAAATTTTCAAATCAACCTTCCAAATTTCCATTCGTATCTTACATTTTTTTCTTCCATCAGTATATTCCTTACACTTTTATCTGCCGTTGCTCCCCTGTTCTAAGTG